GGTGTCAAGAAACGCGATTCGACAGCGCTTAGCCTGAGAGTCTCAGAATTCATGCTTTCGTGGCTGGCGGGCTTTGGGGGTCAAGGTCTTTGGGTTTAAGATGTAATTGCTGCAGTGCTTTAGGCTTGGGTTGCGTGGATTTGGGAGCTGACGGTAGATGACAGCTTTGGGACCGTTTTTGCTAGGACCACGCGCACGGCTTTGGAATTTACGAACTTACGAACTTGAGTCGGAGCCTGCGAGTTAAGTGGCTTGAGGGCTCCATGGCTTCTGTTGCACGGCGCTTTTGGCAGAAAGTGGGGTTAGGATCCAGGGAAGGTTCTTGGGCATCAGACTCAAAAGGGTTTGAGGACTGTCGAGTTGGAAAGTCTGTCGCCAGGGTCAAGGGTAAGGATTTCTTGGAATTGCGGCGGGCAAGGTTAATCGGATTTAAGTAAAGTGTGAAGTCTTGGCATCTCGATTGCCGAGCAAAATGCTTTTGCAACGAAAGCTTTCGGGCGTTGGTGATGGGGCTGAGCGCTTCATTCCGAGGGTTGTCGCTTTGAAGCTTCTAGGGCTTGGGAGGTTGATTGATTCAATGCTTGTGGTTTAGAATGTTGCGATAACGGCTTTGGAAAAGCGGGAAATAGCCACAATAAACATGCTTTGGAAAGTCAGGACTTCAGGATGCTCGAGTTTCTACGGGGTCGTAGGATTTCAGAAAGGGACGCTGTGGACACCTGTCTGTTGTGTGTATCCTATTGTATATTGCGTAGTGTCCAGGTTGTATGTGTATCTATATTTTTTACCACAGCGTCTCTTTCTTTTTTGTAATATAGGTAGGCCTTAATGTAAAATACGATAATACTCTGGAACTTTTCTTTGATCCACCATCTGGATGACTCAATTACTGAAAATTTTCAAGAACTCAGTAATTCAGATGGTGGATTAGCGATCAGATCAGAGATTGCTCGGGAACTTTTCTCTGATCCACCATCGGGATTACTAAATTCCTGATTTCTTCAGTAATGCAATAATCCAGATGGTGGATCGAAGATCAGATATTTGATCCCTTTGGATTACTGAATTACTGAATCTTTTTTCAGTAATTCCGCAATCCAGATGGTGGATCAGAGAAGAGTTCCGGAGCAATCTCTGATCTCTGATCCACCTTTTGCCGTCCCCTTTGGGCTTAGGAAGCCTCACTCCCGGAACGTTACCTCCATCCATGTCCTCATCCTCGCCGCGGTGTGTTGGTGTCTGCCGTGAACTCGTCGTCGCGGGTTTCTTTTGCTCGCGTACTTGGCATCCAGGTCGTTAGTGACTGCCGTGGTCATCGCCTCAATCTTGATGGTGTAGTAGTCCTGTGGTTGAAGGCCTGCAAGACGGATTCGTGAACATAGATGGTGATTTGCGTCTTGTCGTGCTCATGCGCAAGCATGTGGAGGATCCACTCGCCCCCACGCCAGACGGCGCTCATCTCCCAAGTAGGTTTGTAGCGCTGTTGTTTGTCGATTACCTGGGAATACACCGAGATGGCACAACGCAACGGCTGATCATTTTCTCGCTGGTATTTCGGGATTTGCGCTCGCCCTACGGCGATTTGACCGTGGCAGACAAGGGCATCCTTCTTCACTAGCTCAAGGAAATCTTTCCGAGCCTCTTTTGTGAAGAACTCAACAATGGTGAAGTGACTCCATCCGGCTTTTGTGCGAAGTGTTGTGCAGCTTGCGTGTCTGCTTCGTAGAGTATCGTGCTTGACAACCAGATCCTCGATGGCCCTCATCCTGTCCTGTGGCCCTGCCGAGTCCGGCCAGCTGGAAATGATGGCTTGTTTCGAGGCTTCCAGTTGCTGTGCCTTCTGCATCTGATCCCTTGTTTGCGCTGAGCGTTGGTCCACAGTGTTCAGCCTACCCTCCTGCTTCTCCAACATGTGTTTGACAGCTGCGAGCTCCTGTTGGACTTCGTTGCGAATGTTTGACAGCGGCACCGAATATTCGGGTGTAAAAACGCCTGAGCGGCCATTCTGATACGCCGAATTTCGCTCAACTAAATCCGGGATCCTAAACACTCGCATCACTGGCGCTGTCCAAATGGGATCCACCTCGAACTGTTCAACTAAAGGGCCACCCGCACACCTAGAAAATTATTCGGGATGATGAAAGGAGTTGCTCGCGCAAACGCAAAAACACAACCCGCTTGGTACTGCCTCATTGAATGGCGGGTTGGCATTTCGCTGTTGACCCTTGTACCAGGCGGGCACTAGGGGCGATAGAGCACGCGCAGAACGAACGCAACCAGGACAAGATGGCTTTGGTCAAGAGTGTGCTCAGCATGAAGGGTGCGCGGGAAGCCCCCTGCCTGGTAGCAAGATGTCGACGTCGGCCGCCCCACTGTTTTCTCCCGTTGCGGCTCCTCCTGCAGCGAGCGGCTGGTACAAAGGGCAGGGAACGTATCTACACCTCAGGGCTAGAGCACCGGCGGAGATGCAGTGCCCAGTTCAACTGTGCACAGCTGATCTCATGTCTGAGCTTGCTTTGCAAGTTCTTGCATCCCCTCCTAGTGGGAATCTGTACTGCACAGAAGGACACGAAAGTCATGGCACTCCCATGTTCTGCAAGGGATCTATCCCTTTTGCTCTGCGCTTCTTCCCTGAGAACATCTCAGGATCATTGACGATCCTCCATTGCTGCCCTAGCGAGATGAACCTAGCAATTTGATGGTCCTCACCTCTCTTAGTCAAGGTATTAGCAAGTTGGGCATCCGAACGCAATCACCGAACTTGGAGATTAGTGGACGTTTGGGACTCCTTGAGGGCCAACATGTCCAGATCGATCTTCTTACTAGCACCTTTGGGGGTAATGTAAGGCTTATCAACCCGGTCGTAAACATTTCTGGGATCCGTAACTAGAACCCCCAAGACTTGCTTGATCAAAAGCTCTGAACTCCAGGCATCCGCACACATGCCATTGAACTCTGCCCATGCTTAGCGACGCAAGAAGAGGCTATCTTCCTCGTCGATGGCCGCTCTAGCTTCCGCACTGCCTGGTGACCGGCAAACTCTGTCGATCTTCCCGGAACGCCAGGACATTGGAGATACTCGCACGACTGCTCCATCCAAGATAGCCTGCGGGGCCATCCCAATGAAGATGCCCTCAGTGGAGCTCCCATCACGCCTGTTCTGTGGACTCGCGTCCACCCACGCCACTTCTCCTCTGGAGGGAAAGCATGTATTTTCATGGGAGTGCGTGATTCTTGGCGAACCTCTGCGGGAAGCTTGTTGGCCTGGTCCAGCTGTTCCACTGCGCTGTTGGGAACTTCCGACAAAGCAAAGCTGACATGGGCACTGTACTTGTAGCCCACTTGCCCGGCATGCCAGCTAAGCGCACCAGTAGGCCTCGAAATTGACTTTTCTCGGCCTCCACGGTGGAGTCACGCCGCTGGCGTTTTTGCTCACGGCTGATCTGGATCTCTGGAATGGACTCAACATACTGCTGTTCACTCAGGTCGAAGGAGCCATCCGGATTGCGGCTCATGGAGACACCGCACTGAGTGAAGTTGTCTTCTTCCCAGGCCTGCCAATCAAACTCCTTGTGGATCCGACCCCTGAGACTTTGCCAGATGGGGCAGCCCTTCTGTCCTGCAAAAAGGAAGTCATCTACATGTCCAGAGATAACAGACACTACGTGTCCGTCTATCTCATAGATCCAACTGCACGGGTCAGACTTAAGCTGTCTGTAGCTGATGGAATGGAGGGGTGTTCACCGTCTCAAACCACTCGATCGGAGCTTCGACTAAACCGTAGCACGCCTTCTTGAGTTTGCAGACCGTTTCTGGGGCCACCCCCAGACCCTCACATATTTCCGGGACTGGTACGCAATGTAGCTCTGGCTCATACGGAAGAAAGCGCCGGAAAAAACACCCTTCCAACAGGTGAATCCTTTCCAAGAGCACAATTGCCAAAGGTCCCATCGTATGTCCTGCAACTCCTACATTCTCGTTGTCGCTGCGCCACGCTGGACTTGCTGGCACTGAACTGGTCATCCCTCAACATGTCGTGAACAACCGTATAAGAGGCAGTGGGACGAAGATAGCTACCCAAACACTCCGCACGATTGTCTCTACACTCTTTAGCGGGACAAGGACAGTGAATGTTTCGGGCAGAGGTGGGGGAGGTACTTTCAATGCGCCACTCTTTTCCACAGCTACTGATGATAGCGGTCGTCGCGCCACACGACTCTCGCCGCCTATACACAAGATCCCATTTCCATGCTCTGCACCGCCGTGCCCACTCCCAGTGGACAATGCAACCTACGGAACGTGCAGAGTACGCCGCCACCAAAGCAGCCGCACGCTGCCTACGCTGCTCTTTTTTTCTCGGATTCCCTACGCTGGAACTGCCATCATTTCTTTGGTTGATGTTTTGCACAGGGCTAAAAGCAGTGCATTCAGCGGAGATCCCAACATGGTCAGGACGTTCCTTATCAATGAGGTTCGGAAGCCTACGAAGACCATCATTACTACAGAAATCATACTCATTCCACCAACTACAGCACTGCGCTCTGAGGTTCTGTTTCTCCACCTCTCGAGAAAGGATCAACTCCTGGGAACATGCGATCTCAAGCAAGTACAGCTGGTTTGGGTCCCGAAGAGCCTTATACGTCTCAAACTGAAAGTCACGACACAACCTATCAAGACGCCTATTGTCGACCCTTGACCAGCCAGCATCTGAAAAATCATGAGGCTTCAAGTCCATCACTCCTTCGGAGACTTGCAGCTCCAGGGAGACACTTCCTGTCCCTGGCTCCTGTCGCTTCAACAAATCTTCGTGACTCTCCCCTGCCGTGCTCGAGGATGCTGCCAGGGCGCCCTTCAAGGAGAGCACTGGAGTCTTGGAGGTCTTCGGTTCCACTGGGGCCACACTGAACATTGAGTCGTCCAACCCCATGATCGTAGCCAAACGTGCAGCTTGCGATGTGGGCCAGCCTCTCGGGCAAGGCTCCGGACCCTTTCGATGCCACGATGCACAAGCGGACGATGGTCTCGTGGGAGCCGTTGCGAAGTAGCCATTGTTTCATGTAGAGTCTCATGGCTCCATGCTCATCCTCGTTGGCCATCGCCTTGAGGTCGGTGAGCGAAAAACGCTTGATCTTGGACATCAGGGTAGGTGTTGGGTTCTTGCGATCGGACATGAGGCCCTCCTGGACGCGGGTCTGCTTGACGAGGGAGCGCAACTCCTGCAGGCTCAAGTCTGATGACATTGCCAGATTGAAGGTCTTGAGCTCGCTTAGGCACTCGGCTTTGGTCAGGGCACTCGGGACCTTGACTCCGGTCGTCATCCCTTAGGAAGCCATGCCTGTATGAAGTTGCTTGTCCTTCGCTGCGGGGACGAGGGCTTACAGGAGTGTCTACACTACGTTGAGATGAAGTCTGACTATGGAAAATCAAATCACTAGGATCACTGCTACTCTCCTTGGCTACATGTTTGGAAGTCTTTGCATAACGGGAGCGCCTGATGTTTTCAACTTCTCCCACTCAGGCTCAGGCAGCCCTGAGCAGAGGCTGGTTTCCTATTCGGCACTAGATAGGCCGAGCCGAAGAAATGGTTCGCGGAGGTCTGTTGCCTCCTGCGTGAAATCACGAGTGAGCGGCAAAATCTGACGCCCTGTCCATGTTGTCTGCAATTTGACTTTTTTGGGTGTTAAGCCGAACAAAAACGGCTTCACCCTACCATAGTCAACCACAGCTCCAATGCAGCGAAGAGAGTCAATGCTAAACAGCCCTGGCACCGAGCCCTTGATAAAGTTCTGCTTAGCTACCTGCATCTGAAGGAGGACGATGGAGCTACATCTGGCCGTCTCGAATCTGCAAACCCAAAAATCGGCCTCTCGCCAACATCAACGCTTGCGATGTTATCCTTCCGACGCTGCTGCCCGTGAACGTTTCGGGCGCTCAAGCGCCTCGATGAAGCCCATCAGGCGCGTGGCCCCCGGGTCCAGCACTCCATATCCAGCCCTCCTTGCCTGCTGCGTGGTGAGCTTCTGCAACAACACCCGCGCCTGGCTCCACAGAGTCGGGTGCGCAGCTCGAACCTCTGACTGAAGAGGTGGTCACGGAGGAGGTTGTTGAGCGTCGCCTGGAACAGAGACAATGGTGATGATGCCTGGAGCCACGGCGGGCGCAGCTCGGGGTCAGATCACCATTGGCAAGGCCAGAGTGCACTAGACTCGGACGAAGAGGAGCCCCTCGTAGAGGTCTTGCCTGATGTCATCAAAGGGTGGCTTCTTCTGGAGAAGGCAGGGTTCGACACCTTGAAGAAAAGCATCATCCAATCCGACGTCAAGTCTCAGTACACCTTGCTGAGCTTGGAGAATTCCCTCAGAGCTCATTGGAAGGATGAGCAAATCAGGCGCCGTGATGGGGAGTCACGCGCCCAGGCCAACTTCGAAGACATCGGCAGTGAAGAGGACGCGCCCCAAGGTGTGTCAGCCAGTTTTTTCAAGGAATGGGGTGAGGAAGACGTATTCCTGTTTCAGTCGGCCCAGCGGGCCGAAGTGGACGTGGGGCCAGATCCAGCAGGGCAGGCGCGCCCTCCGTGAAGCTCGTGAGCGACAGAAGTTTTTTCTGGAAAGGGTCGTGGAAAGTCAAGCTACTCCAGCGCTTCAGGGCCAGCGAGGCCCCACTCCTCTGGCGCAAGCAGCGTGGGAGAAGGGCCGTGCCTCCGATGCGGAAAGAACCACTCCACTCGGCAGAGAAGCCAGATCATAGCCACTTCCAAGCGGATGCCGAGTCTGAGTTCATCTTCTACACCGATGCGGAGACCTTGTTTGGTGACAGCCTGGTGTTCGACTCAGAGGCCGTGGCCGTAGGGGGTTCAGTGATTGCTCCAGCCCTGAGGTGTTACGTCCTGTTCCCCAGCTGCTGCGCCTAGAAGTGTTCCTCGGGAACATGCTCTGGCTGAGGCCGGGCTTCTGACTCCCCATCATGCGGGTCAAGGCCCGGCACGCTTTTTCATACTCCTCCCTGCGCCGCACACAGAATCCAGTCATGGACTCCCCGTGCTTGCGGCTCAGAGTCTTGAAGTATGATCTCAAAGCGTTTCCCACCTCAGGCAGAACTGGTTCTGAGATTGCTTCTTGAAGGCGGCCCTCCTGTACTCATCCCACGCCGAAAGGTCTCCATTCCATGATGGCACCCCATCTCGGCTTTTGCCGACAACCATCTTGCAGTTGTAGGCGAGGAAATTGTGGTAAACTCTAGCCTTGCCGATCCAGCAATGACTGCCTCAACGAGTACAGCCAGGCTCCTCTACCATGCGGGAAGCTGCCTGGTAGCAAGATGTCGATGTCGGCCACCCCTTGCACACTGTTTTCTCCCGTTGCGGCTCCTCCTGCAGCGAGCGGTTGGTACAAAGGGCAGGGAACGTATCTACACCTCAGGGTTAGAGCACCTGCGGAGGTGCAGTGCCCAGTTCAACTGTGCGCAACTGATCTAATGTCTGAGCTTGCCTTGCAAGCAAGTTCTTGCAGGGTGTTTGCGCTGATCTACTGATCCACGATGATATGCCACTTCGAGCCGTATGCTAAGAAGCATCACTCCAAGATATTCGGGGGGATTCGCTGTTGGGTAGTGGATGCTTTCCATTGTCCCAATCATAACTACCATAAGCAGACTTGGAACTTCGCTGAGAAAAGGCATTGCAAAGAAGTCAGAGCAAACGTTTCCGAAAGTTGGAATTCTTGGGTAAGAGCACTCAATTTTTTCATGAATGGCCTCAGGCCACTGTCGCACAGGTTCTGGATGGAAGAAATGTGTGTGTGTGTGTTCTCTCATGGCAACCTGAAGTCTGTGCCAGTTCGCTTTTCAAGCGAACGAATGTGCTTGGAACCTACGTCCAAAGTTTTGCGGAAGCCGTCGGTAAAGGTCTTGAAAAGACCATCCAAGATTTTACGGAAGCCATCATCTGTGCGCAAGGCGTAAATGTGCTTGACATATGCAGTATGTGAAGTCCACGTGCCCTACTTTCTGCTAACATTATCACTAACCGGACGATACTATAACAGCAATCCACTCGTGCAACCATCCAAGGTTACTCGGTCGCAGATGACAGAGTCTCTGAGCTAGAATATGTGTATTCGTTGCGTATAGGATGGGAACCCAATCTTTCAAACAAACAGGTGGCCACAGCGTCCCCCTCCCACGAGTTTAAGGTGTCTGGGGGTCAGGTAAGGCTCTTTGAGTCTTGTGCTGTAGAGTATATTACATGTTCATGGCATTCAGTGTTTTTGGGTTTTGTCAGTGTAGCCGCTTCACTGTAGCATGTTCTTTCACGATTTTTTGGATTTGGCGTTTGGGGCTGCACAGTCTTACGGTATAGGGTGTCAGGCTTTTCGGATTTGGAGCATGTGCGCTCGCAATTTAGGTTTCAGGTCTTGGGGTGTTGATGGTCGGGGATCTAGAGTCGCATTGTAAAATGGCTTCGGCCAGCTTTCATACAGGTACAATGTACAATCAATCATCAGGAAGAGAAAGACCAACAACAAGAAGAACAACAAGAAGAAGATCGAATGACAAAAAGAATAACAACCGATTCCAAACAACCAAGAAGCCAAGAGACAATGATAAGATGTTCCATTGCTATTTCACAGGAGTTGGTCCTAGCATGTTTTAGGTGGCACGTCCACTCGTGGACCC